AATAGGTAGGCCCCAAACTGATCAAAGCCCCAAGCCTGCCTGCCCGTGAAGGGGGATTGGATTGGGGCGAGCACCATGCTAGCTCCATGGGAGAGCCAGTCACTCTGGCGTGAGGGGAACTCTGTCCCCCCAGAGCCAGCGTGCGTGGGGGTGAGCACAGACAGCAGCTTTCCAAGCACCAGCACTGTCAGCGCCTCTGGGGTCTGCACACCCTCACGCCAGCCGGATAAATTCAGCTCCCTCTCCACTAGTCGGAGCCGAGGGCTTGCTGCATATGGCAGAAGCCGGCAGGCCAGAGCAGAGGAGTGGCATACGAAGGGTTTCAGAGTAGCAGCCGTGATAGTCTGTATCTGCAAAAAGAAAAGGAGTACTTGTGGCACCTTAGACTAACACATTATTTGAGCATAAGCTTTCGTGGGCTAAAACCCACTTCCTTGGATGCATGCAGCGGAAAATACAGTAGGAAGATACATACATACAGAGACCATAAAACAATGGGTGTTATCATACACACTACGAGTGTCTCGTTGTAGTGTGTATGATAACACCCATTGTTTTATGGTCTCTGTATGTATATATCTTCCTACTGTATTTTCCGCTGCATGCATCCAAGGAAGTGGGTTTTAGCCCACGAAAGCTTATGCTCAGATAAATTTGTTAGTCTGTAAGGTTGTTTCTCAGTCACTTTATTTTGCCTGTAAGTGCACTCTGACAGCATTTCCTAGGCCGCTGGGGTTCCCTTTCTTTCCCTCGGGGACAGTGAAGTGGCTTGGTAACAAGGCAGACCTATAGACTTGCGGATGATACTAAACTGGGAGGAGTGGTAGATACGCTGGAGGGGAGGGATAGGATACAGAAAGACCTAGACAAATTGGAGGATTGGGCCAAAAGAAATCTGATGAGGTTCAATAAGGATAAGTGCAGGGTCCTGCACTTAGGACGGAAGAACCCAATGCACAGCTACAGACTAGGGACCGAATGGCTAGGCAGCAGTTCTGCGGAAAAGGACCTAGGGGTGACAGTGGACGAGAAGCTGGATATGAGTCAGCAGTGTGCCCTTGTTGCCAAGAAGGCCAATGGCATTTTGGGATGTATAAGTAGGGGCATAGCGAGCAGATCGAGGGACGTGATCGTTCCCCTCTATTCGACATTGGTGAGGCCTCATCTGGAGTACTGTGTCCAGTTTTGGGCCCCACACTTCAAGAAGGATGTGGATAAATTGGAGAAAGTCCAGCGAAGGGCAACAAAAATGATTAGGGGACTGGAACACATGAGTTATGAGGAGAGGCTGAGGGAGCTGGGATTGTTTAGCCTGCAGAAGAGAAGAACGAGGGGGGGGACTTGATAGCTGCTTTCAACTACCTAAAAGGGGGTTCCAAAGAGGATGGCTCTAGACTGTTCTCAATTGTAGCAGATGACAGAACGAGGAGTAATGGTCTGAAGTTGCAGTGGGGGAGGTTTAGATTGGATATTAGGAAAAACTTTTTCACTAAGAGGGTGGTGAAACACTGGAATGCGTTACCTAGGGAGGTGGTAGAATCTCCTTCCTTAGAGGTTTTTAAGGTCAGGCTTGACAAAGCCCTGGCTGGGATGATTTAACTGGGAATTGGTCCTGCTGTGAGCAGGGGGTTGGACTAGATGACCTTCTGGGGTCCCTTCCAACCCTGATATTCTATGATTCTATGACTCGGAGCCTATCTGCACTGCAGTCCTGTGGCACGATCACAGCTCGGGTTGACGTCCCCAAGCCAGCTTTAACCCAGCCAGCTCAGGTACCGGAGGCTGGAGCAGGGACACTGCAGGAGCAGGGACACTGCAGCAGCTTAGCCTAGCCCTGTGAGTGATTCCCCAGGGGGTGTGGCCAAGGTGCCACAAGCGGCTTTGTGGTTCTGGTAGCTGACCTTGCTAGATGACAGCTAGCTCCAGTGTGTCTGTGAGCTGCAGTCACACCTTGAAGACACCCTTAGCGGGGCTGATTGGGAGGCAGGGGGATGGATGAGAACAATTGAGGGGGAAAGGAGTCCAGGAGAGCTGGCTGTATTCTAAAGAATCCTCATTGAGGTTGCAGGAACAAACCATCCTGGTGTGTAGAAAGAGTAGTAAATATGGCAGGCGACCAGCTTGGCTTAACAGTGAAATCCTTGCTGATCTTAAACACAAAAAAGAAGCTTACAAGAAGTGGAAGATTGGACAAATGACCAGGGAGGAGTATACAAATATTGCTCAGGCATGCAGGAGTGAAATCAGGAAGGCCCCAAATCACACTTGGAGTTGCAGCTAGCAAGGGATGTTAAGAGTAACAAGAAGGGTTTCTACAGGTATGTTAGCAACAAGAAGGTGGTCAGGGAAAGTGTGGGCCCCCGGGGAGGCAACCTAGTGACAGAGGATGTGGAAGAAGCTAATGTACTCAATGCTTTTTTCACCTCTGTTTTCACAAACAAGGTCAGCTCCCAGACTGGGCAGCACAGTATGGGGAGGAGGTGACCAGCCCTTTGTGGAGAAAGAAGTGGTTCAGGACTATTTAGAAAAGCTGGAGGAGCGCAAGTCCATGGGGCCGGATGCGCTGCATCCGAGAGTGCTAAAGGAGTTGACGGATGTGATTGCAGAGCCATGGGCCATTATCTTTGAAAACTCATGGCAATGGGGTGAGGTCCCGGATGACTGGAAAAAGGCTAATGTAGTGCCCATCTTTAAAAAAGGGGAGGAGGAAGATCGGGGGAACTACAGGCCAGTCAGCCTCACCTCAGTCCCTGGAAAAATCATGGAGCAGGTCCTCAAGGAATCAGTCTTGAAGCACTTGGAGAGGAAGGTGATCAGGAACAGTCAGCATGGATTCACCAAGGGCAAGTCATGCCTGACTAACCTAATTGCCTTTAATGATGAGATAACTGGCTCTGTGGATGAGGGGAAAACAGTAGATGTGTTATTCCTTGACTTTAGCAAAGCTTTTGATACAGTCTCCCACGGTATTCTTGCCAGCAAGTTAAAGAAGTATGGGGTGGATGTATGGTCTATAAGGGGGATAGAAAGCTGGCTAGATTGTCGGGCTCAACGGGTAGTGATCAATGGCTCCATGTCTAGTTGGCAGCCGGTATCAAGTGAAGTGCCCCAAGGGTCGGTCCTGGGGCCGGTTTTGTTCAATATCTTCACTAATGATCTGGAGGATGGCATGGATTGCACCCTCAGCAAGTTTGCAGATGACACTAAACTGGGAGGAGTGGTAGATACGCTGAAGGGTAGGGATAGGATAACAGAGGGACCTAGACAAATTAGAGGAATGGGCTAAAAGAAATCTGATGAGGTTCAACAAGGACAAGTGCAGAGTCCTGCACTTAGAAAGGAAGACTCCCATGCACCGCTACAGACTAGGGACCGAGTGACTAGGCAGCAGTTCTGCAGAAAAGGACCTAAGGGATATGGTGGACTAGAAGTTGGATATGAGTCAACAGTGTGCCCTTGTTGCCAAGAAGGCTAACGACATTTTGGGGTATATAAGTAGGAGCATTGCTAGCAGATTTAGGGATGTGATCATTCCCCTCTATTTGGCATTGGTGAGGCCTCATCTGGAGTACTGTGTCCAGTTTTGGGCCCCACACTACAAGAAGCATGTGGCAAAATTGTAAATAGTCCAGCAGAGGGTAACAAAAATTATTAGGGGGCTGGAGTACATGATTTAGGAGGAGAGGCTGTGGGAACTGGGATTGTTTAGTCTGCAGAAGAGAAGAATGAGGGGGGATTTGATAGCTGCTTTCAACTACCTGAAGGGAAGTTCCAAAGAGGATGGATCTAGACTGTTCTCAGTGGTACCAGATGACAGAACAAGGAGGTAATAGTCTCAAGTTGCAGTAGGGGAGGTTTTAGTTAGGATATTACGAAAAACTTTTTCACTATGAGGGTGGTGAAGCACTGGAATGGGTTACCTAGAGAGGTGGTGAAATCTCTTTTTCCTTAGAGGTTTTTAAGGTCAGGCTTGACAAAACCCTGGATGACTTCGTTGGGGATTTGGTCCTGCTTTGAGCAGGGGGTTGGACTAGATGACCTCCTGAGGTCCCTTCCAACCCTGATATTCTATGAATTAATTGAGCTGCCTCTTAGTGTGACATGGTTCCCCTGCTTTCCAAGAGAAGTGCGTGGGACAGTCGCTGGGCTGGGGGCATGTCCCTGACCTTCACTTCTACCTTGGGCCTAATGACCAGGCATTTGCGGGTCTCTAAGTGACCCTTATGTTTAGAGACCCTCCTCCTCCAGGTGTATGTGGTCCCTAGGTGCTTCGGGACAGCAGTGGTGGCTGGTCCCCCGGGTACCAGGCCCTGCACTCTCTGCCTGCCCTGGCTCTGGCAGACCCGCTCCTCTTCCTGCCCCCCGCGCCCCCCCCCCACTCCCAGCAGGCAGGACTTGCCAGCTATTAATCAATGGAGAAGAATCTCTGATAGAGTCCAGGGCGGAGCCTCTTGGCTGGAACAGTGCCAGCTCTGACTGGCAGGCGGAGAGGAGTCAGTAAAGAAAATGGGCCGGGGGACCCTTGGGAAGTCGCAGGGACCCATCTCCGCCCCTGCCAGGAGAAAGCAGCTTGAATGAGGGCAAGTGTGGCTATGGATCCAGGTATTGACTCAGGTCTCTACTGGGGCAGGTTCTCTCTGCTGCAGGCGCTGAGGGCTGGAAGCTCTGGCCGTTGTCCCCGCTCCAACAAATTGCAGAGCAGGCCCCCCCTGAGACTGGCTCCTTGGGCAAAGTCTGGCTCCCCACATATTCCCCCAACACACAGTTCACTTAAAGCAGACTGCATCAGGGTTCCCCTCTAGGGGGCTTTTTGGGAAGGGATGGGGTGAGCCATAGGGGAACGGGAGCCAGCAGCCCCAAGGAGGGTGGAGGTCACAGGCTAGTGCTGTTCTGTGGCTGGTGGTCCCTCCCCCACAACCATGCATTCAGTCCAATGTGCGTTAACTGTCCTGTGTTCTCCATGGTGCTCACCTCCAACTGTTCTCCTTGTCTCTCCACAGGATAAGAAGCTGCGGATCTTTGACCCAAGGACCAAGCCAGCTGCAGCCCAGGTACTTCCTTGGTCTGCCGGGGGCGGGGCAGGGGGGAACGGACGGATGGATGGACAGCCTGGGTGGAGCAAAGCGAATTCGAGGTCGGTGGTCAGATACCATGGTGATGGGCCCAGTAGAATGAGCTGAATCGACCCAAGAGCTACAAGGTGTAGATAGTCCGGGGTCTGTCTGTATGGGATCTTCACTGCTGGGATCTGATATTCGGGAGAGGTACCAGGGTTAGGAAGGATATCGTTACAGACTGAGCTCCTTGCGGTGGGGTGTGCTCCGGGCAGCTCCATGGAGACTGTTCAGCATGGGTTGAAGAACTGTACCAACCTCTGGGTGTTCATATGCCCAAACCACTGAATCTTTGGGTGCCTGGAGTGGCTGCTGGCTGCCACGGGCTCTGGCTGTCTTTTGCCTGGTGAAGTTCTGCCTGTTGCTGCCTCCTCCTCAGGCCTAGGGTCCTTTCTTGGCTTCCCCTGAGGCTATCTGCATAGAGCATGGGGAAGCTTTTAGGCCATGAAGACTTCAGTGCAGGACACCTGCTTCCAATCTGCAGTCCCCTTTCATCCTGATCCTGGTATTCCGTGAATTCAAAGCGACTGGTCGGGGCCCATCTGCAGTCAGCGGCCCCAGCTCCTGCAGGGAGGGAGGTGGCTCCCACATGGGTTGTTTGCCTCCAGGTTTTTCCAGCAGCTGAACGAAATAGCTTCAGTGTCATTGAGGTCTGACCGACCGGCTCAGACCGGCTCACTAAACGCAGTGATTAGAAAATAAATAGTGGGGTCGGAGCTGCATTCAGCATGGCGTTTAAACAGCCCCCATTAGAGGTTTCCTGTGGCTTCTGGAAGCAGAGGTCCCTCTCCCCTCTGGGCTGGCTTGAGTTATAGGAAGCATGGAGGAGGGGGAAGAACTAGTGGCTTCCCCTGTGCACCCAGCCTGTGATTCCTTCCAGGACTTTCAGTGTCTGCGCCCTCCAACTGCTCATGCTGCAGCCCTTCCATTGTATGTTAGGCCTCGCTTTTTGTTGCGGGGGTGTGTGTGTGTAAGACACAGGCTGGTGTGGTCTCCCCAGTCGCGCATGGTGTCAGATGGATGGGCGGTTGTGTCTGTTAGGCCTTTCCACCATCCTCATGGCTGTGGCCTGTCGAGAACTCGCTGCACTAATACTGCTCGCAGCCTGTGGAGATTCCTCTTCAGCACCAGCACTAGAGGCCTGCGTGCCAGGAGCTGACAGTCTGCTCTGCTGGGTGTCTGTCTGTCTAGGTGCTGGCAATGGGCAGAACTCTGTCCCCCATAACCTTCTCCCCCCCCCCCCCCGGTGCGGGAATGGGGATGTGTTATTGGCCAGAGTGCAGTGAAGTGCAGCCTCTCGCAGCAGAGTTGGAGAGCCATGCTACCCGGCCTTTGTGGTTAAAGGGCTGCTGGCTATTCCGAGTGCTTGCCAGTAGCCCGTGCTCACGGGTCTGAGGAGAGGTGAGCCTTGGGCACCTGGGTGTTGGCTAGCTGGGGCAGTATGGGCTGGCCTGGATCTCAGTGCTGAGCTGGTCGCCCTCACCCCATCCTTTGGCCTGTCCCAGCAAATTGCTCCAGCTGCTCAGACCCTTCCATGGGAGGCGGTGGAGATGCTGCTCACACACAAGCCTGCAGTCTTCTCCCTGGAACTAGCCAGAGGGCTGACTGTCGAGGGGTGCGGGACCTCCCTCCCTTTGGGGCTGAGTGTGATGAGTTTCTGCCAGGTTCCTAGCCCTTGCTGGCTGGCCCCTAGCGCTATCTGAACCAGTTGGTTCATAGAGCCATACCCCACTTGGGGTGCTCTCATCAGACAGCATAGGCTAAGCAGGGTCGGGCCCGGTCAGGATTTGGATGGGTGACACCGACAGAAAACCCAGGCTGCTGCAGGAAATGGTGTCTGATTCAGCAGGTGGTGCTGTTGAACTGGTGCGCCAGCATGCTGCTAGGGGATTCCCCGCTGCTGAAAGAGCCTTAATTCTGACCACCAGGGGCTATCGTCCGTCCCACAGCATCCTTCCTGCATGTCGGAGGTGTTAGCTCCAAGGTCCTGGCCTGACTTCTCTTTCCACTGATTGTACTAGCCTGCCTTCCCTCTGCAGCAGTGCAGAAAGTGCTGTGTTCCAACACTGAGGGGGCTATGCTCACCAGCAAGGGATGGGGGGGCCTACCAGGATGAAGGGCACGCAGGGAATAAGATTTTCAGCGACACTCTGAATTTACATCGCTATAGCCACGTCTCTTGGGGGTGGGAAAGATCTCCCTCCCTGAGGGACGATGCTATACCGACCTGACCCCTGATGTAGACACCTCTCAGGGAGGTGGATTAACCTATGCCGACAGCAGAATGCATCCTGTCGCCATGTTTACGCCGCAGAGCTACAGCTGCGCCGCTGTTGTGTTTTAAGCCCTGACCGCCTCTTACCACACGTTGCTTGGGTGCCAATCAAAGCATCTTGTGTAGGCCTGGCTTGTACACAGCCCCTCTCTCCCCTGGGGTGGCTATATGCACAGACCTGTCGTGGGGAAGTGGAGCAGCTAACACAAGCTGGAATGGCAAATGTTCGCCTTTTGAACTGCATCTTTGCCTCCCACTGCTCCAGGTGCATGCCCGACATGGCTGCAAAGTGTTGAATCTCTTCCTGCTGGCATGTAACCCCGTGCTACTCCAGAGGTCCCCCTATTTATTCCCTGCGAGCCCCTGTCTGGTTGTATAATGGCACGTCAGCAAGGGGTGAGCTCGGCGGGTTCCAGCCGAGTCTCCCAGAGAGGGTGGACCCCGTCTAGCTGAGCTATTAAAAATATTGTGTGAATGATGGTTGCTGTTGAAAATAGGCAGTTTGCCTCCTCTGCCGTCTGATCCATCGATGTTTGTGTCCAGTGCGAGCCCCTCATCTGTGTCTGGGGTTGCCAAGAGAAACATGTACCTTCTTGGCAGTTACCAAGAAATGCTGAGTTGCAGCCATAATCCAGTCTCGCTTGTAATTAATGAAGATGTTTAGTCTTCTAGAAATGCCACATATTACATTGTGCTGAAGGGAGAACCTTTAAAATGCCATAAATCCTGAGAGTTTGCACAGGATTTAATTAGCCAAGAGGAATAAAATCTGATTTTCCTGTTGCTGAAGCGGCTGGGTTACTTGGAAGGGCTTCTCTTCCTGTGGGCCAGAGCTGCTATGAAATTGTGTCGTCTCAGGGCTGCCGTGGAAAGCAGTGGGTTGCTGCGCTCTGTCCTTTAACGTGACCCAGTTTGCATAGCAGCTACTGAGGCACCAGTACAATGAGTTTTCCAGGTCAGCTGGAACCACTGATGTGACAGAAATAGGGGCAGGATGTAACAAAATCTGAAGCAAAACTTGTGATGCTAATGTCCGGAGGCTCCGGACCTCTGACACCATAGGTATGCTCTGATCCTTCATGGCATAGAACCGTCACAGCCTTTCCTCTTAGAGCCTGGGTACTGGAGTTACTCAGGACTGTCTCACTAAACTGACTGCTCCTTCTTTAATTTAAAAACAATCTGACCATTGCAAACAAGAAACCAGGGATTGGAGCTGTGACCGCATGGAATGTTGGAGCCTGACTGGCAGCTCTGTGGCCAGGAGTCCTCTGTCTTTCCGTAGAACAGAGATATTATGGGCTAGGGCCATGTGAACTTCCCTCAACAAGGTGCCTCTCCGTTGACCTTCAGGTCCGCTCTTGGGGTGGGGTAGGAGTTCTGTCTTTGAGCCATTCAAGCCTTGATTGTTCTGCTGAGGCTGCCACTGCCCTGGTGCCAGCTGTGGTGGTGGATTTCTGCTATGCGTGTCTGTCCCCTGAGCACTAGAGGGCAGTGGGAGGGAAACTATAAAAGGCTGAAATTAAAAGCATGAGAACATAAGAGCTGGGATGCTGGGTCAGACCATGGTCCATCTTGCCCAGTATCCTGTCTGACAGTGGTCTGTCCCAGAGCTTCAGAGGGAGTGGAGAGAACAGAGCAATTATGGAGCAATCCACCAGTTTTCCACACTCTGCTTGTGGCAGTCTGAGGCTTAGGGTCACCCAAGCGTTGGGTTACATCTCTGACCATCTTGGCTAATATCCATTGGTGGACCTAGCCTCCATGAACTTATCCAGTGCTATTTTTCAACCCAGTTAGACTTTTGGCCTTCACAACATCCCCTGGTAATGAGTTCCACAGGTTGACTGTGCATTGTGTGGGGAAAAAGTACTTCCTCTTGTTTGTATTAAACCTGCTGCCTGTTAACTTCATCGGGTGACACCTGGTATTTGTATTGTATAAAAGAGTGAATAACGCTTCTGTATTCACTTCCTCCACAGCATTCCTGATTTTTGTAGACCCCATCATCTCCCCCATTGGTCGTCTCTTTTCTAAGCTGAACAGTCCTGATGTTTTTAATCTCCCCTCATATGGAAGCCTTGATCATCTTTGTAGTAACTGCTAAATTAGACCCCATCATTTTATATGCATAGTTGGGATTATTTTTTTTAATGTGCATCATCTACATTGAATTTCATCTGCCATTTTGTTGCCCAGTTGTGTGAGATTCCCTCTGTAACTCCTCGCAGTCTGCTTTGGACTTAACTATCTTGAATAACTTTGTATTTTCTGCCAACTTTGCTTCTTCATTAATGATCTGGAAAAGGAGATGAACAATGAATACATTGAACAGCACCAGTGCAAGCACAGATCCCTGGGGGACGCAGCTGTTCACCTCTCTCCATTGTGAAAACTGACCATTTATTTCAAGCCTTTGTTTCCTGTCTTTCAGCCAGCTTCTGATCCACAAGAGGACCTTCCCTCTTATCCCATGGCTTCTTAGTTTCCTTAAGAGCCTTTGGTGAGGGACCTCCTCAAAGGCTTTCTGTAAATCCGAGTACACAATAAATTGATTGGATCACCCTTATCCACATGTTTTTGATCCCCTCACAGAATTCTAATAGATTGGTGTGCATGATCTCCCTTTACAAAAGCCATGCTGACACTTCCCCAACAAATC